AAGGCTCAGCGAGGGCCAGAAACTGTCCCAGAGTCTCACAGCTATGAAACAGCAATGCTCATGATCCAACTTATGTACATCTGAGTAAAGAAGGCCAGGTCTTATGACTAGGCTGGAGGAAGATGGCATCAGCCCTAGCGGTGTGTGTAGGTGCTGATGGTGAGTGAATTCACCTGAACTCAAGTTCCCACCCTCCAGGAAATGCTTTCGCATTTTTTAACATAAAGAGAGTATCCTCCCAAAAGGGGAATAGCCATAAACATTACTGATCTCAAAGTGATGGCATTACCATAGGATTTTTTGGTTTTCGTCTTTTTTTTATGATCCCCTTTGTTTTCCATTCAGAACTGAACTCACTCATTACTGAAGCTAATACTCTGCACTATGACTGAAGATGGAGTGTAGTGACAATCTTTCATAAGAAAACCCCAGCATTTACCTCAAATCCATCTTTCAGGTCTAGCTAAACCCCCTGGACTATTTTCACAAAGAGCAAGTCTGAAGAGCCAGAGTTGCGCTAGTATTCTATGAAATGCCAAGCATTAATCTAGAACTTTGAAGAGCATTTAGATTTCAAATCAAAGTAATGATTAACTCAAAGAAAAGAAACAGATCTCCAAGAAGACAACACCACTTCTGCAGAGTCATTCACAGCTGTGCACAGCATCATCTGATCACCTCACTTGCTAGGCCTGCAGATGCCTCCGTAACTAAGACTGTAACCAAAGCCGCTCCCTCCTGGTAAGTCTCACAGCCCTAGGACTGCAGGACTGCACAAGGAACACAGCGCAGTCAGACTTCCAAACTTTAAAGAAGAACGAATTCAAACAGTACACATCTCAAATCTGAAATTCTGAAAATGCAAATAACATTGTTATAAATTAAAACCACCAGTTATAAGCTAGTGCATATAATTATAAATTTCTAGGAAACATACATATTCAGATTCTCTCCAAACCAGTTATACTGAAAGTGATGAAAATGATCACCAGTTAGGATTTAATATTGTATAACATGATGTTCTTTGACATGTAAGAAATATTATACAAACACTAATATCTAGTTTGAAAGACAATAATATTTAATTTTTTTTAGCACTTGATGCTTTAATGAAGAAAAAAGTCCACTTACTTATTTATCTTTTTTTTTTTTTTGTAGAACCGGGGATTGAACTCAGGCCCTTGCACTTGCCAGGGAAGCGCTTATTCCACTGAGCCATCTCCCCTATCTTATGTATTTAGTACAGAGTCTCACTATGTATATCGGACTTCTAGTGAGTCTCCTGTTTTCAGCCTCCCAAGTGCTGGGATTACAGGGGCACGCCACCATGCCCAGTCTCAGTCACCATCTCAGCATGCCCTGGAGGTGGGGCCGGCATGGCACACCAAACCCTGGTCACTGCGTTTGCCTGAGCAGGTGCTTTAATCTGCTGAGCTATCTGGCCAGCCCTAACCTTTCATCTTTGAACTGCAAATGTTGAGTATTTTGTCCCAGCAACAAGAAAGTAACTACTACGAGCATTTAACATATCCAAACAGGCTGGATCATAAGGGAAGCCTTCTTTTATTAACCATCTATTCTATTACTGCCTAACAAAGCTGAAAGGGAAGAGAGGAAGGGGTAGTATTTAATAATCAATGCATCACCCCAGACAGAAAATACACTACTTATATTCCTAGGATGCCTCTTTATCATAAAAACATCAATTTCTACTGGGTGGGGGGGGGTTGCAATGCTCCAAAAACTACCTGTTCATTTTTTTCCCTCCAAAATGAATTTTTAAAATAATGTGAAAAAAATTTAGCAAGAAGAAATGTACTGGGGCTGGTGAGATGGCTCAGTGGTCTAAAGCACCTACTTAGAACAAGCTTTAGCAAAACCCAGGGACCACAGTTTGATCCCCCAGCACCATATGCCAGCCAGCCCCGCCCCCTGGTGGGCTGAGCTGGCCACACACACACACACACACACACACACACAAATAAATAAATAAATAAAATTAAAAAAAAAAAAAGAAGAAATGTACTACTTTATAGTCATGGTTCTTATGAATTTTGGGCAGTGAGAAGATAGGTCATAAGCTCCTTTTGGATATCTGTTGAAGTTGGTCTTCTCTCCAGAAAACATCTGTTTCCAGGGTTCTCAGACCCATAAAAGGCCACTTCTACGTACAGCCACTGCTACAGGTTAAAAATCTAGAAAAGCAGTAAGAATTTCCTACCAGCTGTGGCCTATCTTTTTTTTTTTTTTTTGGCCCCATTTCAAGTGGTATAATGAAAGCATCACAATGAAGTCAATTTTGTACTTAGCTATACTAACTACATTACATATTTTCATATTCGGCCCAAGGCAATTCCTCTTCATTCATAAATAAATAAATGGAGAGAGGCAGGGAAGAAAGGAAGGAAAAACAAAAAGACAGGCCACAGGTTGGATGTAACAACACACAGGTTTCTCCAATCCTGTTTCATAATTCTACCTCTGACTTACAAGAGCCAACCAGATCACTGACAATCAAAAAACATACTCTTGTACAACCAATCCTTCAATAAACCATGTCCACAGCATTCTAAAATACAGTGGCTGACCAGTGATAACAACTTATATTACAGTGGATTGTGGCATATAAAACCAATACACAAAAATGATTTATCCTTACAATTGTGAGAAGACAGGAATAGAACATGTTATTTTTATCCTCTTTCACAGCTAAGTAAATGTGTTCAGCTAACATTTGACTGTGGTCACACTGCCAACAAGAGAGGAACTGGAGGGGCTGGGGAGATGGCTCAGTGGAATAAGCACTTCCCTGGCAAGCGCAAGGGCCTGAGTTCAATCCCCTGGTTCCTTAAAAAAAAAAAAAAAAGACAAGAGAGGAACTGGGGTTCTAACCCACAACTGAGATGAGTACAGTATTTCATCTCCACAAGAGCCCCTTGGAATAGACAAAGAGGATCTACTGAGTCACATTTTATCGTACACATAGCCTCATATCAGAGAACAAAGGTTAATATACAATACTTAAAATATTCAATTTTCTCTTGCTTCACTGGTTAACATACAATTTTTAGAAAACATGGTTATGCCAATAAGTTTTAGCCCTAAAAAAAATGATACTGTTATTCTATAAAACATTTCTTTCTCCCTCATCTTTTCTTTTTTTGTGTGTGTCTTTGAGACAGGGTTCACTATGTAGTTCAGGCTGGCCCTGAACTCACTTTGTAGTCCAAGCTGGCCTCCAGCCTTAGTCTCCTGAGTGCCAGGAGAACAGGTGTGAGCCACCCCATCACACCTCTTTTCTTTTTCTTTTCTTTCTTTCTTTTTTTTTTTTTTTTTTTTTTGTGTGTGTGTGGTACCCAGGGATTGAACTCACAACCTTGTGCTTGCCAGGCAAGCACTTTTTCCACTGAGCTATCTCCCTGGCCCACCTCTTTTCTTAATATACAAAAAGAAATTGTTCTTCATTGATAATTCAAATGTAAGAAGCTGAGAGAATAAACTTTTAAAACAGGAAAGCTATTTAAAAATTAATTCTTTAAGACATTCAAAATTTCAATTTTTTTTCTTTAATTGGAAAGCTGGGGCTCAAACCCTGGGTTTCTGGCTCCCTCTACTTCTAGGCTACACCCTTAGCCTTCTTTAAGCTTTTTATTTTATTTTTTTTAATGACAACACCCAGTTTTAGTTCTCTGCAACCCTCCAAAGTTCCTGTTAAAACAAAGGATCATTTGTTAAACCCACAGACTGTACAGTGTCTATGGTGAACCCAAAAGTAAACCACGGACTTGGAGTACTAATGGTGTCAGAGGTTCATCAATTGTAACAAATGTACGACTTTCGGAGGAGTTTTCAGTTTCCGCAGGGGCTGAGGGCATATGGGAAACCATATCACCACTCCACTTTGCCCTGCTCTAAAAATTTTTAAATATGGGGACGGAGTCAAATTCATCTCTCCCACCTTTCTCTTTTTTTCTCTTGGTGGCACTCAAGATTAAGAGGCTCAGCACGTGCTAAGCAGGCATCCCACCTCTGAACCTCTACATCCCCCATCCTCTCCTTAAAGACAAATTATTGTTGTTTCCCCCCCCAAAAAAAAAGTTACTCTTGGATCCTGGCACAGAGGCACATACCTATAATCCCACCTATTCGGGAGGCTGAGGCAGGAGGACTGTAAATTCAAGGCCAGCCTAGACATTAAACCAGATCGCGCCCCAAGCTGGCTTTCACAGGGCTGAGAAGCAGCTGTAGCGCTCAGGTTCCGCCCGCACAGGCCCTGGGTTCAAGCCTAGCACCAAGGGAAACGTGGAGATGAAGAAGCTAAGTGCACACAGCTGCACCCTCATCTTGAGCCTTTCTGTACCTAGGCTGGTGCCACCTGGCACCCCGCAGGAAGCGTGCGGCGCGGCTAAGTTCTAAGTGGGTCAGGAGTCGGGCCGACGAAGAAGAGCCGGAGGAAGCCGTAGCAGCAGCTGTCGCCAAAGCCCCCGCAGGTCCTGCGCTCACCCGCGGTGCCACCCTGCGGATCGCGGAGGACATCTCGTGGAGGGAGGTGCACGAGTCCCGTGGCCAGGCTCGCGCGGGGGAGGCGCGCACAGCAGAGCACAGGGGACGCTCCCGCGGGTCCCCCCGAGCTGCTCCCGAAGGGTCGCCCGGGGAGCAGCGGCTAGTTACAGAAGCGAGGCTCCCGGATACGGGCCGGCGGCGGACGAGAAAGCGGGAAGGGAAGCTCTGCGGCCGCGCTGACCGGCGGCGGTGCGGGGACGGCGAGGGTGCCGGAGGAAGCACTGTCGCCGCCGGGGAGCGGCTCGGGGCGGCGTCCCTCGCCGCGGCACCCGGTCCTCCCGAGACGGAGGCGCACCCGCGCGGGCGCCCGACATCCGCCCCGTCCCTGTCCCAGTCCCAGTCCGCCCGGTGCGGTCCGAGCCGTGACGCCGGGGGCTCGGCGCAGGGGGCGCCCACAAAGGGAGCGAGGCGAGGGAGCCGCGCGCGGGCCTGGTTACCTCGGGCCTCGGCCTCCCACGTCCTCCGCTCGACGAGGCGGCAGCCGAACCCCGGCTCGGAGCCCCGCC